CCCTTCTCGCCTACTGGTCTTAGCCCCTCTTCCCACCTTTAATTATGGTACTAAAATAGACGAAAATTTGAGGYCCCGTTTCGCGCCGGTCGTATGCTGCAAAAACGTTGTGGCGAGGTCAACTCCCTTGATGCCTCTCCGCGGGGGGTCAATCCCGGTCTAACCCTCCGAACGGTCGAAAATGGCAGTCCCTAGACACGCCGAGTCCGGTCACCCATCTCGCCATCTTTAAGGGTTACTCATAAAGCTCAGTGTGCTCAAAATCAGGGGTGCCTAAGTTCCCCTAATTTTTGCTGCCTGGTCTTACGAGACTTCCATCAAAACACGAATCTGGCCCTGAGCCTAAGTCGCAAAACTGCGGATCTCAGGCGGCGCACTGCCTATGGCCGCCTGACAGTTAGCCCGGACCACTTCTCGACGTCCCCGTCGAGCCCCTAGCAACTTATGTCAGATGAAGCAGACGAGCTTCTGGGTTATGGCCCGTAAAGGTCGCCCACGTCGGAATTCAATTGTCTTATGTTTCAGTTTGGTATGTGTCCTGGGGCTAAGAAGATGCTTCTTGACTCTGCTGTTTCTTCTGGTTCTTGGCCCCGACATGATCCTCTTTTTATTCTGTCTTTGCCCCGAGAAGGGTGTCGACCCGCCAGTACGTCTAACGTGAATTCTCCGTCTAGCTTGCTTGAGCATGAATAACCATCTCTTCTCTCTTCCCAAAGCTAACCCTTTGAACTTTCTCTTCTCTATCCTTTTCCTTTTCTTGGAACTCTCCCCTGCTTCGAATTGTCTCAAGGAGGCCCCATCCTCCATCATGGCTTTCCCTTTCCCTTTCGGGCTGGTTAGCGATAAAGTGGGCGTGGGCCTGGACCTAAAAAGCTTTAACCTAGCCCCCGCCACAGGGTCCTTCCACTTAGATCCGTCTAGTTATGCTATCATATATGCCCCCCAGTCAAGTGCCTCAACCACTCTGTAAGGTCCCATCTACCTATTGGCAAGCTTTCCGATCCAGGTCCTCTCAAGTGCCGCGTCGTAGAGAAGGACCATATCTCCTACGCTCACCCTCTCTTTCCTGATTCGCACGTTCTTATCCCATCTCTCTTTACCCTTGTCCCTTTCCACTGCCAGACGATCGGCTGCTGTCATAATGTTTTCTTCCAATCCGTAGGCTTTCTGTCTTGTTCGAGCAGCTAAGAGCTCCTTTCTGGACATCTCCTCTGCCCAGTCGACGGTTGTCCAACTGTCGACGTGAAACTCTATGGGTAGCGGACAATGTCGTCCAAACCACAAGGTGTATGGTGGGTATCCGGTACTAGCCCGGACCGTGACATTGTCCGCCCATATCGCGTATCGAAAATATCGTGGCCAATCACTGTCTCTACCCTTGCACCACTTGGACAGTGACGCTATCAGAGTCTGATGTCCCCTTTCTACTGGGGAGTTCGACTGTGGGTGATAGGCGGTGGCTATCGAAACTCTCGCGCCGGCTCTCCTAAACAAGCTCTGGACCTCGTCGGCTAGGAATTCCGCCCCTTTGTCCATCACTATCTTGCCGACACATCCATACCTAGATAGGTACTCTACGACAAAGTTCTTTACTTCCTTTGCCGCCTTACTCCTGATAGGTCTACCGTCCACGAACCCAGTGAAATCGTCTCGTATGTTCACGGCGTAATTCATATTCCCTACCCCTCTCGGCATCTTCACCAGATCGATGTGTATCTTCTCTCCTGGTCGCGTTGGATAGGATGGATGAAGCGGCTCTTATTATTTCACAAGTGTTCTCTTCTTACACTCTTCGCATGTCATGCGGTACCTCTCGACGTCCTTATACTATCCATCCCACCAGTACAGCCGCCGTATCTTTTCGTAGGTTCCCTTGGTTCCCCTGTGTCCTCCAACTACCCCGTCGTGAAGTTCCGCAACTATTGCCTGTCTCTCCTCTGGGTCACAGACTACTCGCAAGGGCGTTCCCGACCCTACTGGCCTTCGAAAAAGGTGGCCTGCTCTAAGGCAGTACTGGGCTGCTTGCCTTCGGATATCTGAATCTTGACTCTCTTCTCCCGTCAGGTGTAGTCCGATCATTCGGTACTTGCCCTCGTAAAGGTTAACTAGAAATCTCTCGGCGCGCCTCGGCTCTGCCACTGTCAGAGCCTCTGCTACTATCGGACGCTCCAGAGGGATGCGTGAAAGCCCATCTGCCACGACATTTTTCGTATCAGATACTCTTTTGACCGTGTAATCGTATAGCCGAATCCATATTAACCATCGGGCGATGGTCGAGTCCGTCAGACTAAAGTCCTTCTGGAGGACTTAGTCAACCGCGGTGGGGTCTACTCTCAAGATGAACCGTCGCCCATAGATATAGTGTCTGAACGTGTCTAGACACCGGAGAACAGCTAACACTTCCTTCTTGAATTGACTGTAGTTACGCTCAGCCGTATTAAGTGTCCTACTCTCAAATCTTAACGGTCTTTCCTTCCCTCCAGCGTCCTTCTGAGACAGCAAACCACCCACTGAACATGGTCCAGCATCTGTGGACACTATGAAGGGTCTCTCGGTCTCATCGTCAAAGAAAGGCACACCCAACACGCGTCCTCCCTCCTTAAATTCATCTTTAAGTTCTTGCATTGCGAGTTCCTGCGAAGAATCCTTGTATAATTTTTCCGTCTTTCGAAGGAGTAACCTCAATGGCTCAGCCTTCTCCGCATACCCCCGTATGAATATACGCCAGTAGCCGACCACTCCCAGAAACTGTCGGACCTCGGTTGCGCTATGTAACGGTGACGACCAGTTCAGGAGTTTGTCTAACTTCGCCGGGTCCGCTCGATGTCCTCTCGAGTCACAGATAAAGCTCAAGATCTTAATAGTCGAGACGGCCCATCGGCTCTTGGTTCCGCTGACTGTCAAATTCGCATCGTCCAGCTGCTCGAGTACCGCGCAAATGTCTGTCAGGTGCTGCTCGACGAATCTTCTAACTCCAGGTATAACCTGTGTCTCATCCCTGTCTACTGGTCCTTTTATAGGAAAATCATCCAGAAAAACTTCAACCTTATCAGGGATGAAGTCCTTGAGGACGGCTACCATGGCTCTCTGAAAAACGGC